ACACCTGATCAGGAGTTTGACAACGTCCCGGCCTCGGGGCAAATTCTCTCTGTCCTTTCCTGACTGTCTCTCTCGAGGAGCCTTGCTCCCTACGTATGCCAATACCTGAGCTGCTACAAAACACGTGATGTACATCAACAAATACTTTTTGCTACGTCTTAACTTGTGTGAGCCCTGGAACAGCCACTGCAGCTCTCCCCATCGGTCCTCCTGGTGGCCTGGCTCTAAGAACCAGCCAACTGCAGAGTTTTGCAGCTACTCCTTTATGTTTCCTAGGATCCGTCCTTAGATCTTGCTGGCCTGTGCGGGGTTGCCACCCATCACCAGCTTAGGGTCAGGAAGGAATTTGCCTGAGCCCAGCCACGATGGGGGAGAGGACAAGTGTTGAGTTATTACATCGGCCTCGGCTCATGGAAGAGAAGACCCTTTGCCTGCTGGAGCTTGATAGCGGTATCTGCTTGATAGCAGAGCTGTGACACCACCCTGAACCCAGCAGCTGCCCTGGTTAAGTCCCTCAAGCCAGACTTTGGTTCAAACACAAGGAATCCCAGAGCAGGAGAGCCCCACGGGTACATGTCCGCCTTCCTTAGCCTAAGCAGCACTCCCATCACTCAGCAGGAGCCATCTCTGTGTTAGCTATGCCCCTCCCTCAGTCAACCTCTTGAAGATACCTCTCCTTTTTGGTGTCTGGCCAGACGGCCCAGGGGGGCTCCCGCAGTCGTGCACTGTTGGGCTGGATCCGGCCTGGCTGCTTGGCTCAGATCTCTGTAGGCATTTACACCCCCTGACACCTGCCATCCCCTCGAGAAGAGAAGGGGTGCAGTCACGTCGCCAGCATCTGACAGTCTACCCAATGTAGGTTGACCTAAGTCTGCCGTGACTTCTTATTATCAATTTTTTAGGCATCTCTGAAGAAGCAGTCTCCAAAGTGAGTGCTCTGAAACTGGCTTGGGGTGTGTTACAGAGCCACGCTGCTTTGCCTTGGGGTTTGGGGCTGAGGAGGGAATTAAAAGCCCTGTGAAGACACCTGGGTTGTCTCCCTGGTCAGGATGCAGGGGGCCACCCGAGCTCACGTGTCCACCCAGCCGATGCTAAAACCCAACCGTCCCCTCCCTCCCTGCAGCACATCAGCACTGGGGATGGGAGGACTTCCCTGGGGGGACCTGGAGACCCCCCTACCAAAATCACCCCCAGCAGTGTCCCCCCCATTGGTCCCAGGGAGGTCCCATGTTGCTGCCTTGCCATCTATCACCCTTGAATTGCCACAGCGTGAGCTGCCCCACAAGAGCCAACCTCCTTCTCCTCCTAATAGTATTAGGAGATGCTGAAGACACAAACATGTAGTACCATAAACTCTGCCTTCGAAAGAAATTCTGGTGTGGCTCCTCTTTCTTATCCGTGGTGGTTATAGATAAATCAGAAAATCGCACTGTTAAAACCGCAATGGCTGTGCATGTGGTGAGGACACCAGATTTCAATCCCATTAGACGCATCTCTGCATGGCTTTCATTCCCATCACTGGCAACGTACTTCAATTAATGTTTTCCAGAGGTCACCTCCCCTGGAAGAGGCAAATAGCCAAAAAGAGCTGGAGAGACACAAGCTTGAAGGAGCAAACAGGCCAAGATGCCATTGCCCGTGGGACGTCGAGATGATCTGCTAATAGAGGCAAAGGGAGACAGACTCCCAGGTTGCCTGAGAGCAACCAGGATTAACTAATGCAGCAATTTGTGCTCTGCCGCGCTTTAACCCTCAGGTACCAAACGCTCTCCTGAGTTTTCTCCTCTAACATGGAGCAAGGTCCTGGGAAGAGCATCCCCAGGAATCACAGTGTGAAAGGGGTGGAGGGGCACACATACAAAGGAGCAAAGACACCAAGATGCAGCTATTGGACGACGTTTGCAGTTCCTGCGGCCCTTCGCCATCACTGCGTTTAGTCATGAGTTAATCAAGATTGTGGCTGTTGCCGAGGTCGAGTTTCTTTCCACTTGCCACAGGTCCTGGAGACCTGTGATTATACATATGGACCTCAGTTTTCCTTTTAGAAAGCGCTATGTTCATAGTCCTCAGGGTGGTTGGGCACGGCTGAGCTCAGCACTGCCTAACAGCCACGGAGCTGCAGCCCTGGAAGCAGTGTTCTTCTAGGCATTTATTGGCTATTAAGAGGCATACCCTTGGAAACTGAAGAGGTTTTCCTTTTTCTACACACTTGACAGAAGAAAAAAAATATATATTAAAAAAGTTCCTGTAACCTACTTGCTCCCTTTTGGCAAGAAAGTGTTTGTGAGGGCTTAACATGTCTCCCCATGAGCCGCAGTATGACAGCGCAGGCTGCGGTGCCAGGCCTTAGCTAAGGCTAAAAAGGCTGTTGCAGAACATAAAAATCGTGATTGTAATTCTCCCCAGTCCAGCTTCTAAATTAAATTACAGCCTTTGGGACCACACTGGGGCTGCTGCTGCTCCAGACCTGCAGCTATTTGCAATTCTAAATAGTGACACTCAACGTTTTCTGTTTGAATATAACATATATGGTATATTCCATGGAATACATGCAGCTCTCATACCCCACAAAGTTTAAAACTCTTCCATAAAAGGTTGCTCCAGATATGTAAAAAAATTCCCTGTTTTCTCTTCTCTGCAATTTAGTCTAAAACTTACTATACATGAGTCTCTAAGACTGTCTTGTAATGTCTTTTACAGCTGTCTTTGGTGTAATGTCTTGTAGAGCTTTGCAACGCGCTTTCAACTTCATCTCCAGTGGTAGAGCATTGAAGATAGACTTTCTTTGGGCGGTATTTTTCAGCAACTAAAACTATCATATTGTTTCTAAAACAGGAGGATGGTATATGAAGGATATCCTATGATGTTCTGCACTACTTTGAATTTGTTCATTACAAATACAGCAGAGGAAATTTGAGAATTAAGGGTGTCCGCCCCTCTGTCCCACAGTTAGTGGCAGAGCCATTGGCAGCCCAGTGGACTGTTTGCTCCTGAGCCTTGTGGAAGTCCCATGTGGTAACATCCCCTCCTGGTTCACTCTTTTGATTAGTAGTGCCTCCTAGTGATGGCTGATCTTTATGAGGGAAAAAGCATGTCCGCCTTCTGTCTCTGTTCAAAATCTGTAGATCTGATTTTAACTTTTTCATATTAGTGCAATCCATTGTGGCAAACCTGTGTCCCCACTGGGCACTCAAGAGCCCAGAGCAAGAAAAGCGTAAGACCTTTGAAAGGAAAAATTCCTGTCTTTAGAGCTGTGACAAATTTGAAGATTTTGGGGATTTCTGCAAAGCTTCAGATCTGTCCTGCTGTGCTGACAATTGCTTTCTTCTGAGCAGGCTGGTCTCCCCACCTGCCAGAGGAGCCTGACAGGTTCCTCCTCCTCCCTGATGGCTGATCAGGGTTGAAGACCACTGATGGTATGTGGACACGTACATACACACACACACGCCACTGTCCTTGGACACACCATCCCGTAGCTGGTCCCTGATTCCCTGCTCTCCCCGTTGCTGGTACCTGGACATGCAAGCCCCCAGCTCGCAGCCCTGCTGCAGCTGCGGTACTCAGCCCTCTTCCCCTGCTCGCCAACCAGTCCAGCATCACGTTTGCTGTGCCCACACATACCCATTCAGACCAGAGAGCACACTCTGGGTTTAACCAGAAGTGCAATCCATTTAATGAGAATACAGAATGAGAATACAGAACAGATTGCAGTGATCAAGTGCAGGCAGGGCTCAGGCAAGCATACTGACCTGCCCTTTTTATCCTCTTTTTTCCCCCATTTGCTCCTTCCCAATCCACCTCGATCCCTTCCTTTCCCCACTTTTAATCCACCCCCCAACATCCTGAACCAAGTCTTGCACATTCCCACAAGCCCCTTAAAAACATCGCAAAATAAGTTGTAGACAATCCCAAAAATGCTTTTCCTGCCGCATCCCATAATGAGTCTTACACCCATCATCTTGTCCTAAATACCTTTAGGTGTTTCTCCATGACCCACAAGAAGGTCATGTGCATGCCCTGCAGGGGCTCACACACCATGTTGTGCTTCTCATCAGAGCTCTACTGCTGCTGGATCTCTCTTCTCCCACACAAAATCCTCCAACAAAGGAGGTTTTCTGGGGATAGGGTTGCCCACAGACACAAGAAAGATGTTAAGTATGGGAGCTCCTGAATACCATTCATCATTCAGAAGGAGACTGCTACGGTGTAATTTTAAGGAGCTAAATATAAGTTTGGGAGTGGGGTCTCCAGGACCCCAATAGAGGCTGGTGTTGGAAAAGGAGCCAGACTCCTCGTAAGAAAGTTTTCATAGGAGAGGACAGAGGGTGGTGTTTCCCCTCCTGGCTCTTCCATACCCCACGTGTGCCATTACTGTGGGTTTGAGTTGTGTTTCTTGGCATCTTCCTCTTCTGCCTGCCTTTCCCCTCCTCCCATTGCACAGTGTATGAGGGAGTTGTGGATGAGACTCTGGCCTCATGGGCCCTTCAGGCAGGCACAGATGGGTCACAGCATGACAAGAAGGACACAACAGGGTCAAATGAGTCAGCCATATGCTAAGCCACGGGAGCGTGAGCCGCTCCCTTCCCGCTGCCTGTTGCAGCAGCAGGCAGGCTGGCCCCATCTCACCGGCAGTCAGGGACGGCTGCTGCATGGCACCTGGCAAGTGCGATGGGGACTGGGTCCACCCCACCTCGCACAGGCTGATCCAACCATGTTAAATGCAGGAGGCCTGGCGAGCATTTACACGGAGGCCATGGAAGACTAAAGATCCTTTCCACTGCTTGGGGTTTGCTTTTTTCTGTTCAGCTGCTTTGTACCTCTCCTGTCAGGGTAATGAAGGTTTGGCCTTACCTAGAGGGATGTCTGTGCTGTGTGAAAGCAAGCAAGCCCACCTCCCACTGCAGCTTCCTGGTGCGGTGCCCCTCGGCATCTGATGCCCCCAGAGCACCAGGAGATGGTAAGTCAAAGCAGTCGGTTCCCATCCGGGGAGAAAAGGCACGATGGAAAAACAGCAACTTCAGGAAAAGGAGACCGGCCGGCTGCTGGCGTGCACAAAGCCCGCAGCCTGGGGGAAGCTGTCTAGAAACCATCAAGGGCTTGCTGTGGTTTCCAAGGTAACTTCCATCTTCTGTGACCCAGGTGAGGCTCAGCCTTTATGAGCACGCAGGCAGAATACAAATAGTGGGTCTGAGGTGGAAAACGAAATGCCCACGAAATGCCATGTGTTACCCCAGCTGCTCTGCTAGCGGCTGCTCGCCTTCCGCCCTTCCACATCTGCCCACCAAGGCAAAGTGCCCGGAACGAGGAATTCGGCCACTGCGGCTGAACCTCCATGACTCGCTGCTGGAGGGAAGCCAGGTAATTCAAAATTACCATAGGTGGCTTTCCAGCTGGAGTCATGACTCTAGAGCCCAGGGACCCGTTAATGCGCAGCTCCTCGGTGCCCATACCACATAGCTCTGACCTTCTCTGCGCGCTCACCTGAGAGCGTCCATGAGTCCACCGGACAGCATCAGCACCAGCTGGGCTCAGCTGTTGCCCCAAGGCTGTCCTGGGGTCTTCTGGGGAAATAAAGGAGGCAAGGCTTCCCAAACTTCATCTCCATGGCAACCACGGGAGAGCTGGGCTGCTGCCACAGGAGAACCAGGTAGCTATTCACGTGTGGGGTCACACGGGTCAGGTGCTGTTCACCTCTGGACCACCTGCTACAAAAGCCACCGGGTTTTAATTGCCTCTTCAAAACCAGCATGAGAGAGGAAAACAAGAGCAGTGAGAGGATGCACTCCCAGTCATGTACTGAATGCAATACTTCAATTCTTTGATGTACACATTATTGTCCACAAAAAGAAAGTTTCCAAGAGCAGAGAAACCAAGGCCATCGCCAAAGGATTCACACAGTTCTTTCTGTCGCTATCGTGCTGTGCACAGGCAGGGAGCCCACCCCAAAAATGCCAGCTTCCCGCAGAGCTCACAGATGCACACCCAGGTCATGGCACTGCTGCAGCCCCTGGTCCAGCGTCTTCTCTCCATCACCTTCACGCAACCCAGGCCTCGGCTGGGAGAGCGATGCAGGTGCCATGCTGAGCCTGTTGGGGCAGAAGCTAGCACAAGACCACCACCACAGTGCTGAGAGTTATGAGTGATGCTCCTGAGGAGGTTTCTGCACAGTACTGATGCTCTGGCAGGAACCAGTGTGTGGCCAGGAACCAGAAGGGGACCTGGCAAGTTGCACCTGCTGCAAATGTCTGAAAAACTTGGCATCAAGAGGCCCTCCTTTCCAGGTATTTGTGGCTTTCCTGAAATATTCTGTCAGCCGGCATTACCTACCGCAGATGTCAGCTCTGATCCACCCACAAGACTCCATGTTACTTTTCTTTTTCAAGTATTTCAAAGCACAAATTCTGGTAGCATTGCTGATATTGAGGAGTTCCTAGCTCTGTGCTGCTGAGAAGTTCTGGTTTCGAATATGGACTTAAATTTGGGAGAGACAAATTTGGGAGACTCACTAGCATCAGGAAGATTTTTTTATTTTTTACCAAATCTACCCCCATCTACAAGCTTTGGACCCTCTCAGGTCACAAATGCTGAGAAGAGACTGGTTGGAGCTTGAGGAACAGCTCCCTGAGACCTGCTCTGGCAATGCTGTACCCCCAGGCAAGGCCGGCTGAGATCTCCTTCCCCAGGCAGGCAGGAGCTGCAGCAATGCCAGACTGAGCAGATCTGTGGGCAGGGAGCCTGTCCACCCCACAGGACCAGTCTTCTCCCTCTATGTGGCTGGGCTGGCCTGCAGGAACCTCGTGGCCCTCTCTCTTGAAGGACGTGGAGAGATGCGCTTCGCCTTGCCCATTCCTGGGATGAAATGATGTCTCACCATCAGCTGAGGCAACTAGTGACATTTCTGTCCCATCCCCATGTGTCAAATCCTGCTCATCAAGGTCCTGGAAAATTGAGGGTGGAAGGAGCTGCCTGGCCACCAGCTGGTGGTGATCTTCACTAGCACTGGGAGATGGGCACAGCCCAACAGGCTGATACCTCCTGGGAAATGGACCTCAGCCTTCCTCCTTTGACACCTCCTGTATCCCTGCTGTCCTAAGGAGGAAACATTGCCCAATAATGCACTTGGAACCTCTCGGCTGGCTTTAGGCACACAGAAAAGGCAAGGATCCCCACCAGTATCTGAATATCAACAGTGAGTGAGACGAGGCACGATGCAGGCAGCTGAGGCATCATCCTATTTTGACTGCTGCACACCCCTCAGTTAGCAGCTGAGCAGTTTTGGTTGTAAAGTCACATTAAAAACTCTTCACAGAGAGGAATTCTTGGTTTAGCAGCTAAACGGAGACAGTGAAGATCTGCCAAATGCTTGGGAGTTTGAAATGCAATAGGCACAACTTTGCAAAGGCAAAAGAAAGCTTTTTTCTCAGCCTGTCAAAAGATACAATCTTCAACTCTTCATACAAGTCAGCTGGGATGAAGCGCTTCCAACAGGCAACATTTCTTACAGTGTAGTCATTCCACCTCTGACCTCCCAGCCCTGATTCTTAAAGAAAACCTACAAAACCTTCCCTAGGTAAATCTGGGAACTGTATCTCATCACCTTTCTGAATACTAACATTTTAGAGCATGTTACCATCCTCCTCTTTTCACCATTCCTACTAATCTCTCAGTGCTCTACATTGTGCTACTATTATTCTACAAATCACCTGCCTCTTTTTTCCCCTTAGGAGATAACCACCAATATCCTCTTTATATTCCATGGGTGCTGTCAGACGTCTAGCTCAGACACAGGTCTAATTAAACCCCGAACAATTGTTCCCCATGTGCAGTTAGGTTTGAAATTCATTGCGTCTTTCCTGAGGACCATGCATGCCCCAAACCTTATCTGCTTTCTCCAGCTATATTAGCTGGCTTCGTAAAAGGTGTTACACCTACCTAAAAATCTTTATCTTTAAATCTTTGGCTCTAACAATACTGCCACGCCAAAAGGCTGCATACACTGGAAATAGGAGGGGCAGTGTGCAACTGGGTCTGGTTTATAAAAAATAGAGGTATAACACTATGACGTGCTTCACAGAAGATCTCAAATTCTGTTTCGCAGGACACAGTGAGGTTTGAGCACTAGTTTAAAATCAGTGTTCATCTTTGACTAGCAACGTTGATCCATGGCTACAAGCCCCGGTGCAGCTCAGCCTCCCCTTTGCTCCTTCAGCCCCTGCCTGGAAGAAACACCTCTTCACTTCTTTCTTCAGGATGCTCCTCTCCAGAAGGGAAGCAGCATCCGAGCTGCCCTTTCACTGAGCCTCTGTTTCCCATCTGTAGAATAAGGAGGTAATGGTCTCCCTCTGTCCTGGAAAGACAGGTTCAGGCTTAGCCACTCCAGCCTGCTGTCACCCCCACTGCTTATCCATCGCTGCTCGTGTTTGCTCCTGACCGTGGTCAGTCTCTCTGCAGGGAGCCACCCGCACTGCTCTCCTCCAGGGGTTTGTACAGCATCTGACTGTCAACTTACTGCATGAGTAGGACAGTGTGTCCTACCAATACCTCCCAGGGCACCTGCATAATATCCATATTGTGCATTTCCACAATGGGAGAGGACCTGAATCTCTTCTCCTTGAAGTCAGGTATCCTCACTGGGAGCTTCTGAAGATGGCTTACCCAATGTTTGTGAAGCCCTCACACACTACAGCAGCAGCTGCCGCAGAAGATCCCATGGAGAAGGAGCATTGTTCGTGGAAGGCAGCGTGCAGGGCAGAGGATGCGGGACTCCCCACAGTGTGGGCTAAGCCAACGCTGTAGCAGTGCCCCCATGGGAAGCGCTGACCACATGGGGCTGGGCTGTGCAGAAGAGCGAGGAGCTCTGGGACCCGCGGGTACCCAGCCTGCAGGGTGACCTACTGAAAGAGTATCCCGCAATATGTATTTATCCCATTCGGAGAACCAACAGAGGAGGTAAACCTTGACTGTGCCCAAGTGTTTAATAAAGCATGGAGACCAGCTGAGGCTTTTCTCATACCTGGAGTATTTTTAGCATCTCCTGCCTCAGGTTGCTTCTCTAGGTGCCTAGTAAGGGCTGGATTTACACTGCTCGCTCTCTCTCTCTCTCACTGGATCTCTAGCAGGATCTCTTTCCTCAGTCGGACCTCCAATTTCCATATATTTATGGCAGTATAGTATCTTTGAGATTTGGTTGAAACTGGTGGATGGTTTCAAAAGCTAGGGAGGGGACAACTGTCAAGCAGATATACACCTACGCAGACAGCATGACCACAAGGGCCTCCTTCCTGTAGGAAAACAAGATAAATGCTATGTAATAGTGACATTCAAGGCTCTATTATAATGCAGAAACATAGTTGTACAGAAATAATGCTGTGTGGGCAGCCTAAATGTTGGCCTCTGTTAACCTTTGGCTACTTGACTTTGCAATTTTAATGACTCTTTCAAGGAAGCATTTTTGTATGCAATGCAGTACATCGTGCGATGACATGTTAACTTTGATGAAGTGTGTTTAGGTGGAGGAAGATGCCTTTTAATTTTGTGTTGATTTTCACCTTTTTTACATTCTTCCCACAAACACACTCCTCCCCACTAAGAGTAGATTCACGAACACGTGCACAAATATGCAGAGGATCAGCAATGCAAAAGCCATCCACATCTTTGTCCCCATGCCACAGATGATGGGAGGCCGATGAGTCTGATCCTCAAGCCTTGCACAGGCAGGCTTATTGAACTTGACAGCACCACTTGTGTGCAGAGAGATGACTCACTTGAGCAGAGGCTGTGGGATCTGCCCCTAGTTGTGGAGCCGCTTTCTTCATAGCAAATATTAGCTGTTCAAACAACACTCATGTTTCTATTTTGGGTCACTGTTTATAAGTACAGTCTAACAACAGTGAAAGAACGGGAATCTGCTACCAGCCAGCGCTCTCCCGGCACTCTCAAAAGCAGCTTGCAGAAGCTAAATTTCTGGAGAGGGCCAGAATGGACAATTGCTGTAAATACACTAAAAAGATGTTATTAGCTGCCAGAGATTTCATGTTTCCTAAGAGGAAGTGAATATCTGGCACTTTCTCTAGCAGGTTAGAGTTATTATTAGTGCGGAGACTTAGATGCTGAC